AGCTACTTGGAAGGCTGAGGCGGAAGGATCGCTGGAGCCCAGCAGGTCGAGGCTGCAGTGGCCGGACTGAACTCCAGTCTGGGCAACAGAGTCAGACTCCAACTCAAGAAAAAAAAAAAGTGGGCAAAGGACATGAAGAGGCACATCTCAAAAGAAGACAACCAAGCAGCCAACAAACATGAAAAAATATTCAGTTTTACTAATCATCAAAGAAAGGCAAATCAAAACTACAATGAGATACCACTTCATACAGTCAGGATGTCCATCATTAAAAAGTCAAAAACCGGCCTGGCGCAGTGGCTCAAGCCTATAATCCCAGCACTTTGGAATGCCAAGGTGAGGGGACTGCCTGAGACCACAGGTTCGAGAACAGCCTGGGAAACTTGGCGTGACCTCCTCTCTACAATAAATAAAAAAATTAGCCAGGAGTGGTAGCGCGTGCCTGTAGTTCTGGCTACTTGGAAGGTTAAGGCAGAAGAACTGCCAGAATCCAGCAGGTCGACACTGGGGTGGCCATGAGCGGGCAACCGCACTCCAGCCTGGCGGATGAAGTGAGACTCCACCTCAAAAAAAAAAGTCACAAAAGTCACAGAAAGTGTAGGAACACTTTTACACTGTTGGTGGGAATGTAAGCTAGTTAACATTTGTGGAAAGCAGTGTGACGTTGTCTCAAATAACTAAAAATTGAGCTACCATAGGATGCAGTAATCTCGTTTCTGGGAACATATCCAGAGGAACATAAATCACTCTACCAAAAAGATACCTGCACACATATGTCTACAGCAGTACTATTCACCATTGCAACATGGAATCAACTCAGATGTCCATGGAAAGTAGACTAGATAAAGAAAATGTGGGCTGGATGCGGTGGCTCAAACCTGTAATCTCAGCACTTTGGGAGGTGGAGGAGAGAGGATTGCCTGAGCCCAGGGGTTCGAGACCAGCCTGGGCAACTTGGTAAGACCTCGTCTCTATAAAAATTTTTAAAAATTAGGCAATCATGGTAGTGCCCACTTGTAGTTCCGGCTACTTGGAAGGCTGAGGTGGAAGGATCACCTGAGCCCAGTAGGTGGCACTGGGGTGGCTGTGACCGTGCCACTGCACTCCAGCCTGGGTGACAGAGTAAGACCCTGACTCAAAAAAAAAAAGAACCACATACAGTTCAGCGACCCATTTCAGTGGAAGGTCCTGGAAGAGCGGGTTAAGTTGCTAAGCCCTTGATACTGTCCCTCAAGGAGCATAACACCAGGTCAGGTTTCAGCCTAATGGGACTTCCATGTGATTTCAGGGGCACCGCTAGCCTTTGTTCTTCAACAAGCTCTGCTCTCTGTCTGGAACATGCTGTCTTCCATTGTGTGTGGCTCCTTCATCATGCCTTGGATCTCAGAGGAACCTCAGAGGAACCTCACCACCAATCTAAAGTAGCCCCAGGTAGGATCCCCTCTGTTAATCTCAATTCTACGCACAGCACTTGGGTGATGTTTACCCGTGTGTTCACTGCCTGTCTCTGCCCCTGTTTACATTTACTCCTTAAAGGCAAGCCTTTGTCTGTCTGCTCATCGCTGAATTCCCAGAGCCCAGAAGTGCTTGGCAACAGGGAATACTATGCTGGATGAATTAATTCATCTAGCCACTCTACACCCAGAAATAAGCAGTCTACAGGTGCCCCTCGCGCCACCACACAACAGGCACCAAGTGAACTCACTCTTCACAGGATAGGACAGGCAGACACATGTCCAAAGCCCCTGCTCCCAGATGCCAAGGGTAGCACTAATCAGGACAGGGCCAAATGGGCAGGACCACACAAGATTTCGGCAGAAGCCTCAGGTCTGCAGCCGGCCAGTCATGGGCGAGGCCTTCTCTCTGCATTGCTCTGGCTTCCCCAGTTCCTCTGTACCCAGACCACAGCCCTGAAGAAGGGGAGGACTTTCGGTCAAGGCCAGAAAAGAGAAAACTGTTTAAGAAAGTCAAAGGTTCGCCGAGGAGCTACAGAAAGCAGTAATTGGCAAACTTAAAGTCTTTGATAAAATTGGCAAAGTGAGGCCGGGTACGATGGCTCAAGCCTGTAATCCCAGCACTTTGGGAGGCCGAGGCGAGAGACCAGCCCGACCATTTGATGAGACCTCTACAATAAATCAAAAAGTAAGCTGGGCATGGTAGTGCACGTCTGCAGTTCCAGCTACAGGGAAGGCTGAGGCAGAAGGGTCACCTGAACCCAGCAGGTCCAGGCTGCGGTGGTCATGAGCATGCCACTGCACTCCAGCCTGGGAGACAGAATGAGACTTCAACTCAAAAAAAAAAAAAATCGGCAAAAGCCTATGACAGGGTCTTTCACAAAATCCAAAGAAAGCATTTGGACTTATTTCATGGGAAAGTTTACTTTTGGCAGACCTTAGCTTGGCCATTTAAAAAGGGTCATCATAGGTGAGAACAGAAGTGACCCTAAGAAAGTCACTGTGCCACAAGAATCAGGCTCCTGGAAAGAGCTGCAAAAACCTAGTCTTCAGCCACCTGCACACAGACCCAGAGCACGCAACATCCTATCCTCTGAGACTCCTGTCCTTTTGCGGCTACAGGAAGTCGGGCGCCTCCGTGCAGGACAGTCATAACAGCTGCTCCTATGTACTGAGTCCTACTCCACGCCGGAGCCAGGCATCCTGTCTTTTAATTTTCACCACAAGGTCTAACATGCCCATGAAGAGAGGAAGAAACACAGAGAAGTCAAGTCAGAGTCACCCGGTAAACAGGGGCGGAGTCTGGATTTCAAGTGTGCGACTGTACCGACTCCTGGACGTCAGCCTCCGAAAGGCAAGGGCCAAGCCTCGGCTCTGGGGAGCCCCGCAAGAAGCACAGGGTGGCTGGAGGAAACCGAGTCGATGACAGCGAAGGCGCTTTGGGGGGTGGGGGTGGCAAGGCCAGGGGCGGCATCGGCCTTCGGGGATGGTCGGTTTTACATGCTGCTCAGCGGCGACGGGGCGGGTGAGCGAGGGTTTTCACCGCACAGAAATGCCACCCGGCATCATTCCGCCCAGCCACCCGGTCGGCGTCGGGCTTCCTGCGAGTTCAAGTCAACAAAGAGCTTCGGAGGCAGGAAACGAGGGGCCAGGCCCCCGGGCGAGACAGGGGAAGGGCTTATTCCCTGGAAACTGGAGGTCTCGGTGGAAGTCGGGGGTCGTCTCAGGCCCCAGAACCAAGGCGGGTCGCCTCGCCGCTCGGAAGGGGCGACCCTCACTTGCCCGGCCCGCGGGGAGCGCAGGTGGTCACGCCCCTGGTTCGGTGTTAGCAAGGAGGAGAGGGGGCGGGGGAACAAATCGCTAACCACCCCCAGCCCGCCGGTCGCCCGCGCGCACTCACTTGTCTGCGCCGCGTCTCCCGAAGGTTGCCCCGACCCAAGTCCGGCGGTCTCCCTAGCCGAGCCCCGGCCTGCCCAGACCCACCCGGCTCCGGGCCTTCAGGGCTCGCGCGGCACCGGAGGAGCAACCAAAGCGGTGCAGCGCGGGCGAAGTCTACGATTTTCAAAACGGAAGACTCAGCCAATCCTCGGCAAGATTGTCTGGGCGGTTGCAAGACTCTAAACCAACCGGATAACACAAGGTACCAGCCAGGCCTTCTATTGGCAACCTGGAGTGGCAATCAAACTGGGAGGCGGGGAAAGGAAACGTAGAAACTTTAAGTCTCCTCAGCTTCCGGGAGCCGCGGCAGGTGTGGAGAGAGGAAGTGTGGCTCGTGGCCGGGAGAGTGGAGGTAGCGCAGGGCCTCGCAGACCGGAACTACGAGCCCTAGCCTGCACTGCCAGCGCCCCCGCTCGGCGTGGGGAGGGGAAGCAGGAAGCGGAGTGCAAGGCGTGCAAGTCCGAGGCTGTGTCTGTCCCGGGAGCCTGCCTTTTCGCCATTTCTGAGTCCTGCTTTCTCCTCCCTGCAGGGTGCCAGCTTTCCGACCTCTGCCGCTCTTGAGTTAGGAGGAAAGGCTTTGTAAATCGCAACGGAGTTTTTGCATAAAGCCTGCCGTCTTATCTCGGGGACAGTATTCTGGGTCCCACCCGTACGGGTCCTTTATTAACCAAAAGAGGTTTTGCCCCGCCTCCACGCACACACAGGTTTAGCCATGTATGAGCACTATTTTTTTGGTTGCGGGGACGCTGCTGGCATCTAGGGAGCAAAGGCCAGGGGTGCTGCTCCACAGCCTCTAGGTCCCCAGCCTTTCGAGCATCACGGACCTCTGCCACTTTTGAGAAGGCGAAGACAGCTTGTAAATCGCAACAGAGTCTTTCTTTTTTTTTTTTTTTCCCTTTTTTTGAGTCAGAGTCTCACTCTTTCCCAGGCTCTCCGCCACCGCAGCCTCGACCTGCTGGGCCCAGGCGATCCTTCCACCTCTGCCTTCCAAGTAGCTGGAACTACAGACACGCACCACCATGTCCGGCTAGTTTTTGTCATTTATTGTAGAGACAAGGTCTCACCAAGTTGCCCAGGCTGGTCTCAAACCCCCAGGCTCTGGCAATCCTCTCGCCTCAGCCTCCCAAAGTGCTGGGATGACAGGCTGAGCCACCGAGCCCAGCCATCACTCAATCCTCAATCCTTTGAACTCCCGAGACATAGCTCAGAATTCCACAGTGATATGTAAACCAAAATTATTTTTAATAACTGACTAGTTGATAATGTTGCCAACAAGCAATTAATTGGGCTTACTTCCCAACATGCAGAGAAGCCAATACTATGGCACTAACTTGTGTGGCTTTATTGCGAGTCGACTGGCAAGAAGACAGGAGGGAATGTTCAGGGACCAGGGCAGGTTTTACAGAGGGTAATGAGGCATGATCTGATTGGAGCATGCCATGAGGTGATTCCCCAGCCTGTCTGTTTAATTTGGTCCCTGTTCCTCAATCCCAGCACTTTGATTCCACCCGTAGTTGACCTGTTCCAGGGTTGTGAATCAGGCACACTTGGTTCGTCTGGAAATGATTAGGTTATGTGCCGTGCAATTGGGGGTTCATGGCAACATGAACAGTCCTTCATTTTATTACACAGAGTTGAACCAGATTGGGCAGGTTCTGGAGTTACTGTAACACCATCAACTTTATGAAGAAGTGTACAAAATTCTAAGCCAGAACAGTGCAGACCTAGCCTTAGTAAGGTGGAGTTGGTGATGTAGCAGGAAAAATAAAGAGATCGTGACACCGAGACTATTATAGGAAGTGGCACTTTATTACACTGGCCATCCCAGTGGGCCCAAGGGTCTAATGTGTCCAAATCAAGCGCCCCAGAACAGAAGTGGGGTCTTATACCCTTGTTTAAGTAAGGGTCGTGTTGAGTGATTACATACTTCCTTTGGAATTTTACAAGGTTGTACTCAGCAAAATTAGATTTTTCAAAGAACAGATGGTATCCAGGAACTGCAGGATTGTTAACCGTCAACTTCAGAAGGGGGGTTTTAGATAAGACTCTTTTCCATTTCCATGAAATGGCCAGTCTCTGGGCCATATGGCCTTTCTTAAACAAAACCTGCCCGGCGCCGGGCGGGTCTTTAAAGTTGCAACTTGCCATTCAAAAGGAAGTACCTGCTACCAACCCCCTTCCTGCCATTGGGCTAGTGGGAGTCATCCCAGGTGATTGCCATGAGGCCAACTGCTGATCCCGAAGCAGCTACATGTGTTTCTGCGTTTATTCACTCAATCATACAAGAAATATATTTGAGCATTTACCGCATCCTGCCACAGTGATACAGGGACACTGGCATTGTGCCAGAGCCTGAATTCTCAAGAACTTTCTGGGGAATCCAAAACAACTGAAACTGTTTTCTTTGATACCTCTGATCAGTCGGCCCAAGAACTGACCTCTCTGCTAGCTAGCCACTAGCTATAGCTAATCATTTATCCTGTTCCAAGTTGCCTGCAGTGTTTTTCCTTTTCCTTCCTTACCTCTCTATCAAGTCTGTTTTTGCTTTTATTATTTGCCAGCTGATTCCCTCATATGTGAGTAAATAATTTGTGAGCAAATAAACTAGACATTTCTGAATTATTCTTTGAAGAATGTTAATAATTGGAAACCAACTGAATCATAAAAGGATATGTTACCCAGTCATTAATCATTCACTTTATCAATACTGATATCAATTTTTTTTTTAGTCAGAGTCTCACTCTGTTGCCCAGGATGGAGTGCAGTGGCTCACCCAAGGCCACCCCAGCATCCACCTACTGGGCTCAGGCGATCCTTCCACCTCAGCCTTCCAAGTAGCTGGAACTACAGGCATGCACTATCACATTTTGCAGCTAATTTTTTGATATATGGTAGAGACGAAGTCTCACCAAGTTGCTCAGGCTGGTCTCGAACCTCTGGTCTCAGGCAATCCTCTCACCTTGGCCTCCAAAAGTGCTAGGATTACAGCCTTGAGCAACCATGCCCAGGAACATCAATATTTCAGATGATTCATTTAAAATGTCACTCCAGAGGGTTTTCTACCCTGGGCAAGGCACTTTAGTAAGTTTCCAAAGGAATTAAGATCTGCCTTTCTCAGTCAGGAGAGAGGGGCAGTTGTAAAGAAAGGGGAACCAGCTTTTGGCAGGTATATTCACAAGCAGGTATGTACAGGACATACTAAAAGAATGTGAAACTGACTCCCTTGAAACTCTCCTTTTGTAAAAAGTCTTCTTTTTGCCCCCAGTGGGGGAGATGTGTCTTGATTTGAAGACCACTGGGCTGCATGAGACATCCTCCCCACACTGAAGGCCTCTAGGGCAAAAGCGGCAAAGGTCAAAGCTTTTCTCTAACTGCTAAGCCAAGAGCAGCCCTCAGCAAATGCAAGCCCAAGCAAGATGACCAGGCTAGAATTAACTGTGCCCACTTCCCCCTGGTCTTAGTTAAACTGTCTGTGGTGATGGAGGAGACAGACTTCCAGGATCAGAAGGAATAAGTGAGTAATGTAGTAAGTGAGTAACCCGACACGGCAATGAGGGCCATGGACTTTAAACTAGAGAGTTCTGACTGGGCTCAGTGGCTCAGTCTGTAATCCCGGCACTTTGGGAGGCCGAGGCAAAGTGGACTGCCTGAGGCTGCAGGTTTGAGACCAGCCTGGGCAACTTGGCAAGACCTCCTTTCTACAGTAAACTAAAAAATGAGCCAGGCGTGGTAGTGTGTGCCTGTAGTTCCAGCTACTTGGAAGGGTGAGGTGGAAGGATCACTGGAGCCCAGCAGGTCGACGCTGGGATGGCTGTGAACGTGTCACTGCACTTCAGCCTGGGTGACAGAGTGAGACTCCAACTCAAAAAAAAAAAAACAAACTAGAGAGTCCTGTGCACAACTTATGGGCTTGGAGTGTCCCATCAATGCTACAGCAAAAAAATCCAGCTAGGGTCCTTGTAGTATGATTATTGCTGTGCTTAAGAATAAACTGCATAATTAGTGCAAGAATTTGAAATGTTTAAGACTAAGTGCCCTATTTCAGTAACGGTTTAGCCTTGTGATTCTAATTTAAAGTGTATAATTAACCAATTTATACTATAATTTAGAGTTGTATTTTTAGACTTGTAATTTTAAGTGGGAATCCTACTAAATTTATAGAGAGAATTGGATTGTTTAAGAGAATTTATGATTCACTTTGACCAGGATGGCTTTAACTTACATCTCATCCTGACTAAATTCAGATAGGTTTCTTTCTAACTCTAGATCCTGACCTCTCTTTTCTTAGGGCATTTTATTTAGAAAACTTTTGTAAAGAAGAATTGTAAATTCTCAGCTGGGTGCAGTGGCTCATGCCTGTAATCCCAGCATTTGGGAATGCCAAGGCGAGAGGATTGCCTGAGCCCGGGGGTTCGAGACCAGCCTGGGCAACACAGCGAGACCTCGTCGCTACAATAAGTCAAAACAATTAGCTAGGCATGGTGGCGCGTGCCTGTAGTTCCAGTTACTTGGAAGGCTAAAGCAGAAGGATCACCTAAGCCCAGCCCAGGTCGAGTATCCGGTGGCCATGAGCATGCCACTGCACTCCAGCCTGAGTGACAGAGCGAGACTCCTACTCAAAAAAAAAGGAAAAAAATTGTAAATTATCCTGCTCTGTTAATATGTAAATTATTTTGAAAGCTTCTTACTCATTTTACACCCCAGGAATGTCTTTCTCAAGGATCTGGGTGTCATTCCTTTTAAATGTGACCCTCCAGAAGGATAACACTCCTATCTCCCACACTCTGGAACGGTCAGTGCCTAACTTCAATGGGTGCCAATTATCAAACACAGATTCTCATATCCCATTGGTAAACCTCTCTCCTAACATCCTCCAGAACTTTTCTACTAGCTTACCTCAGCACTTGAAAACCCTCCCACAGGGCTCATGCCTGTAATCCCAACACTTTGGGAGACTGAGGTGAGAGGATCACTTGAGGCCAGGAGTTCAAGACCAGCCTGGGCAACATAGACTCTGTCTTTTAAAAGCAAAAAAGAAAACAAACTTCCCACCTTTCAGTTAACCGAGTTCAGCTCAACCTGCACTTTGATCTCTTGAACAGAGTCTTCTTTGCCTGTGTATCT